GCCGTCCTTGACTGCTTTCCCAGGCCACAGGCAGGGAGCTGGAAGGGAAGCAGGGCTGCCGGGATTAGAACTGACGCCCATATGGGATCCCGGGCGTGCAAGGCGAGGACTTTAACCACTTGCGCCATCGCCCCAGGCCCCTACAATGCCCGCCTTTTACAGTAGAAGACCTGGGATGGACTCCTGGCCCTGGCTCCAATTCCAGCTTCCTGCTAATGCAGACTCTGCAAAGCAGCAGTGTGACTCTAAGGAACTGGCTTGGTGCTACCCACTTGAGAGAGTTGGATTGTGCTCCTGGCTCTGGCCCAGACCCGCCCACTGTGGGCATTTGGGGGAGTGAACCAGCAGATGGGATTTGTCTCTGTCTCTGCTACCCTAACTATATATGACAGAGAGAAAGAGGCAGAGGCTGGAGGGAGGAAGAAAAAGGAAGGGAGATAAAATCATCAACCTGAATCCAGTGGGACTCTGTCCTTACAAAGGGGAAAATGTGAACCCAGACACATAGCAGAGGGCAGACTATGAGGACAGTGGGGTGGGGCCGGGGGCCCATCCACAAGCCAAGGTATCCCCGAGGTTGCCAAAGCCAGGAGAAAGAGCCTGTAGCAGATTTTTGTCTGGGGTCACCGCTGGGACCAACCTTGCTGACACCTTGATTTTTAAATTTCTGGCTCCAAGAACTAAGAGCCAACACATTTCTGTTGTTGAAACCATTTTGTTTATGGCTGTACCATCAGAGCAGCCCCCAGAATATAAAATAAATGAGAGAATAGAGGGGGCTCATTTGTCCAAGTCCAATTTTTCCAGTCTTGGACCATCTTATAGGTAGGTCACTGAGCCAACAATCACTCTGCAGCCTTTGCCAGGCAGCCACTCTGTCCAATCAGCTGAGAGTAGAGGCATGTCACATGATAGAAAGCAGCTGTCTGAGAGGTACCCTGAGAGGGCAGGGTGGGAGATAGCTCTCCAGGGAGGGGCAGAGAAGACTGGACCTGCTGGTGAGTGCCTGCAGCTGGAGGAAGAGAAACGCTGAGGGGGTAAAGGCAGGTGGCATTGTCCTGGGTGTAGGATTTAATGACAAAAGATCAGAGCATCGAGTCACTGGAGCTAAAATGTCTTCCAAAAGGCAGGAACACATAGGCCAGGAGCTGGTGTTTGGAAGAGGGACTCAACTTGCAAACCAACTTCAGCCCTTCAGGATGTTCCTTCTGGCAGATGTAAGATGGTGTCCCTTGGAGATATATATTTGAATTTGGAAACCTGTCTGTCAATCAACACAGTGCCACTTCAGTGTCTCCTCACTGGGTCCCTCAGACAGCTGCAGGAGGGCGCTTAACAGAAGCCGTGGCACCTGCTTCAGGAACAACATAAAGGAGCAATTTGTCCACAGGAAGCTCCCACCTCTCAGATCCCTCACCACTGAAATTTTCCCAGGGCTTGGACTAAGCACTTAACCCATTCATTTTTACTGTCCTGGCTGCTGACCTTTGCTTCGTAGTATGGCTGCTAGTATTTTTTTTTCCTTATGTCACCAAGGCTGAACTGTGTGGTCAGTATCAAGTGGACACAGGACCTAGAAGACTTGGGTTGGCACTTCACATTTATGTAGCTGCCCACTCTCACTTGGGGAGTCTATAAACTGTTCTATTTCGGGAGGATCATGATTGGCAGACCCAGCATCTTCAGCACCTGCTTCCTGCCTGGCCCCCCTTCTCAGATCCCAGGCCATCCCCTCTCTGCTCAGATGTTTTCATTTTGAAGCTGAGAAAACAGAGGCGCCTAGAAGAGAAGCTGGCCCTGGGTTCCGAGTGTGCTAGCTCAGAAGTCAGTGATTCTCATTCTGTCCTGCTCAGCGGGAAGCTCTGGGCCAGGAACAGGACTGGGCCTTGGGGACACAAGGACAAATAAGACGCCAGCCCCTCCTGATGAGGAGGAAGATGAGCATGCAGATTCCAGTAACAATAGCAGCAGCAGCGCTTCACCCCACATGGACTGGACACCGCCCCAGCCCCTGTCCTCTTGTGCTTCGTACCCTGCCTCCCAACTCCACACTACAGCAACCACTGCAACCCTTTCACCACACAATGAGGCCCAGTCCAGTGAGTTTTTAATATATATATTTTTTTGAACAGCAGAATCTTTTCTTCAAGGGACCCCCAAATAAACACATCCAGTAAAAATCAGGGCAAACCACCTTACTCAGCCTAACCCCTGCACAAACTGAAAAACACTCGTGTGATCCAAGTCTGCTTTCCCAGGCATATTAACAGGGAGCTGGCTTAAAAATGGCTCACTCCTCAAATGGTTGCAACATCTGGCACTAGGCCTGGCAGAAGCTTCTACCAGGTCTCCCAGGTGGCCGTGAGGGCCCAAGGAATTAGGCCATCCTCTGCTGCTTTCCTAGTAGCATTAGCAAGGAGCTGGATCAGAAATGAAGCAATCCATAATGGATGTTGGCATGCCAGGCGGCAGCTTTATCAGCTACACCATAATGCCAGCCTGTGTACTTTGGGTTATGCAGCCCATCAAAGAGCTGTGAGTTCAAAGTCCTGAATATGAGCCAGTCCTGGAAGCCTTCATGTCCTTCATGAGGGTCCCTGTTGGCCTCCGAATGGAGGTGATAGATTCCTCTCCAACTCCCAGCCTCACTTAAGAGAAACCAAATTAGGTTGTTCTCCAAGGGCCCCTCCCAGGAGGCTTTTTTTTTTCTTTTCTATACCCAAGCATTGTCAGCTGGTCCTGCTTCCATGGAAGTAAATAGAAATGAACCAAGGGGGACCCATTTATGGTCTGAACATTGCATTCTTGGGGTCTGGTCAAAGGAAGACGTCAGACCAAGCTGGGCTGGGAAACGATGGTCCTGTGGTTTCTGTATTTGGGCAGCTGATCCTGGTCGCCAAGCCGGCTGCCGCTTACTTGGTTTCTCCTACAGAGAGTTCACACGTGCAGACAGCCATGAGAGACATGCCCTCTCTCTTCTGTAAGTGCAGGTTTTTTTCTTGTGAACTTCGGTTGCAGTTTGTTTTAAATTACTTGTTTTTCATGACAACAAAGCCCAGCTTTTTGACTCGTTGCTTGTTTCTTCCTGATGTTCTGGAAAATCCCCTCAGCTGTGTCACAGAGGGGCCCTGGGTTGTTTGCATGGGGTCTAACACAGCCTGCTGGGAAGAAGGCAGTGCAGTACTGGGGTCAGTCCTCAGCTGCCACGTTCCAGGCCTCAGGAGTAAGGCCAGCAGTTGCTGGCAATCTTAGGCATCCCACGGCTTGTAGAACCTACCGCTCAGGTCTCTGCCTTCATCCTTTCAATTTATCACACTGATTCTGGAACTTGGAAGGAAGCCCTGAGCTGATGCCTCACCTGTCAGCCATCAGCTTCTATTGGAAACTCAGGTGGGCTGGAGGACAGGTAGGGACTGGTCCACATTGACAGAGATAATAACTCCTGCAGGGAGATAACATTTTCTAAGAACAGATGAACATAAAATATCCTCCAGGATCCCAGTGCGATGGCTCAATTGGCTAATCCTTCCTTTGCAAGCACCTGGATACTACATAGGTTCCAGTTTGTATGCTGGATGCTTCATTTCCCATCAAGCTCCCTGCTTGTGGCCTGGGAAAGCAGCAGAAGATGACCCAAAGCCTTGGGACCCTGTACCCACGTAGGAGATCCAGAAGAAGCTCCTGGCTTTGGATCAACTCTGCACCAGCCATTGCAGCCATTTGGGGTGTGAACCAGCAGATAGATTTTTCTCTGTCTCTCCTTCTCTCTGTAAATCTGTCTTTCCAATGGAAATAAACAATCTTTCATATATATATATGTATGTATATATATACACATATATATGTGTGTGTATATAGATAGATTTATCCTCCAGTCAGTTTGATTGGAGCAGCAAAGGTAGATAGGGGCCTGGAATCAGGGCCACTCTGGTGACAAACTTCCTGCTATGTGCTTGGCCCTGGGAGGGGTCCTGGGGAGAAGAGTGTGAAGCAAACCCATATCCTGCCAACAGGCTGAGTGGGATCAGAACAAGTCCCGGACTCAGAACCAGGGCCCTAATGAGCTCTGTGTAGCCACAGGGTGTTAAGATTTCATGGGGAAGGTATGAGCTGGGCTGGTGATAAGATGATTTTAAATAAGCCAGAACACAGACGGCATGAGGCCCCAGTTGTGCATCTCAGGCTAAGTGAGAGACAGTGCAGTATGGTGGGGAGATGACCGGTGTCCCAAGTGAACCCCTTGGCTATCCCTCAGTTTCTTCACTGGGGCATAGCAGGTACGTGGGTCATACCTAGGTGTTAAGTATCATCTACGAGAGGAAACGACCCTTCCGCAGAATGGCCTGGAAAGTGACTGGCATGGGCTCTGGCCTTGGGGCAGACTCCTTTTCCCTTTGAACTAGCTCCCTTACAGATGCAGCAAAGGGTCCAGACTAGACAGTACATCTGTGATACAACAGGTAGCAAACAGGCTCAGAAAGCCAATAGGCCTTGAGTTCAGATCTGCCATTTCTTAGTAGTATGCCATGGGTGAGTCCCTGCACTTCTCTAAGCCCAGTATCCTCACCTGCAAAATGGTGCTCATAGGAAACACTGCTTCACAGGTTCAGTTAGAAAATTCTTGTTAAGTGTCAACATTTGGTCATATGGCATAAGTTAGCTATGCCATGCCATGCATTTTGTGCCAGTTGGATGAAACATTGTAGGTGGAGAGCCTACTATATAGACACTCAACTCGTCAGTGATACTTACCCCCTGCCTTTAAAATGAGCATTAAGCAGAATTTCCAGCGCTCATTTCCATTAGGGCATGGAGCAAAGGGTAGAAGGTCAAACTGCTTGAAACCTCAGATACTTGTAAACCAATTATAATCACCCATTCCCTTGTCGTTGATAACCCTGCCACTTAGAATTCACTCCATCATACACCTTCAGGTATGTGCTTGCTTGGGGAAGATAGACATGGCAGGGGGTTCTCTAATATTTCTCTGTCTCTGGTAGGTCACTGATCCACACAGCCAACAGGACGAAGACAGGTTCTGCCGCGATGTCCTACAGACGAGAACTTGAGAAATACCGTGACCTGGATGAAGATGAGATCCTTGGAGCCCTAACAGAGGAGGAGCTCAGGACCCTGGAAAATGAGCTGGATGAGCTGGACCCTGATGTGAGTGGGCACCAGGGTAGAGGCGGAGGGGTGGGGTACCAACACAGGTGCTGGGACAGCAGCCATTGCTTCCCCAAGGAATGGACAGGTGTGCACTTTTTGAAGCTTCCACTTTTTATTCCCTTTTCTAACAATGACATTGGAATAGTGTTGCCTTTCCAGGGTTCATTTGTTTTAGTGTCTTCTATTAAAGTTCTCCAGAAAAAAAAAACAACAACTAGGAAAGACAGAGATTTAAGCAAATGGATTCACATGATAATAGGACCTGGTAAGTCCCAAGACATGCAGTCAGCAAGCTGGAGACTTGAGAAAGCCAAGAGTGTAGTTCTCATCCCGTCTGAAGATACAAGCTGAGGACCTAGGAGGAGCTGGGGTCTGAGTCAAGTCCAAAGGCAGGGAAGAAATTAGTGTCCTAGCACAGAGCAGTCAGATGGGGAACATTGGTTCCAGCTGGTGGAAGGGACACTATATTGTTCTGCTCAAGGCTTTCAGCAGATTGGATGGGGTCCATTGTCACCTGCTGTACTCAGAGTGCTGAGGCCAATGTCAATTTCCCCCAGCAACACCCCTAAAGACACACTCAGTAAGTTCTGAGTGAATGCCTGAGAACCCATGGTCCAGACAGGTAGACACATAATTAGCCAACTCAAGTCTACTCCTGGGCAATATAGCACCCATTGATATCTCTGTAAACCACAGTCAATTCCAAGATGCCAATGAGGCCATAATTCTTCCTTCCACAATACAACTGTGCTGTGCAAACAGCAAAGCACTGGAGATAAAATCATTGAGCAGTGTTTCCTCTTCTCCTTGATAGCATACAACTTCAGTGTTGTGGTGCAAACAGCAGAACTTACACACTAGAATATAAAACCAATTGCTGTAAAGGGAATAAAAGAGAAAAGCCAAGACATTTGTTACACACACAAGCGCACCAGACAAAGTCACAATGGCAGTCCTCACTTCTGTGGTTTGTCGCGTCGTGGTTGCTACCCTGTGACTTCTTCTGCTACCGGTTCTGTGTTCCCTTGGCATGAGCAAGCACCCCAGCGGGTTGTGGTCCTTCGCTTGGTGAGAAGGCATTCACTCTGGGAGGATACAGGCCTACCTGGGCTGGGTTGTTGGGATTTTTCTTTGGTCTTCATCACCAAGACACCCCATGGTCTCCCATATTCCAGTGGTCATCCAACTTCTTCATGATGGTCAGCCTTGGTCACTCCTGCCAGCCTAGTCCTTTCCCTCTTTGCCCATTCATTTGGTAGCCATGGTGGCCTGGAAGCAACTTTAACCTCCAGTTCAGTGAAATCATAGTTGAGTTTCCTGGGGGGGGAAGCGTGTTCCCGTCTGGATTTACTCTCTCTGGGCCAAGACTGGGAAGCCCAGGTTTGCTAGTGGGTGTCTGAGTGGCGCAAGAAACATTGTCATGTGCTATCCCCCAATTCAGGGTCTCCCAGGCTTCTGGAGAAGTCAGTCTTGTGCCAAGGAATGAAGAGCCAGAAGACTCCCACCTCACTTGGATGCTTTAGCATCACCTGTCGCAGCTGACAGATTGGAGAAGTCTCCTTAATCCCTGTAGCCATGAGCAGGGTCCAGGGAGGGATTCCTGGGCGACCTATCAGATAGGTGTCTTCATCTCATGTCTATACCCCAAGTACCAAGGTCAGTGCCCAGCAAGAATAGGCAGATCATGAATGTTGCTGAATTGTGTTTTCCTTTTGACATATCAGAAATTGAAAATGAAATGCCTCACACCTTTAAGAAAAATAACTAATTGCTGCTGCAGTCTGGTGTAATAGCAATCCATTAGGAAAGGAACATCTCATTAACATTTGCACAGCTCCTACTAGGGGCAGGCAGTGTGGCTCAGTGTGTAGAGCCTCTGCTTAGGACACCCACACCTGCCTCCTGTGTCAGAGGGCTCATTTGAGTCACAGATGCTCTACTTCCAGTCCAGCTTCCTGGGAAGGCAGGAGATGATGGCCCAAGACCTTGGACCCTTGTCATCCATGTGGGAGATCTGCATGGGGCTCCTAACTTCAGCATGGCTCAGGCCTGGAGGAATAAACTGGCAGATGGATGCCTTCATATTTGCTCACTCTTCCCTCCTCCTCTCTCTCCCTGTCCTCCTTTTTGAAAATAAATAAATCAAACACACTTTTCAATAAACATTTCTGCTAATATTCAGGATCCACAGGACTACATGTCCACCTGTCTCTAGGCTTGTGTGTCCCAGTCCTGAGTCCATGGAGCTGACCAGTCCCTTTCAGGGCTAAGCATCTGTGGGACTTTAACACAGTTATTCCTCCAGATATGATGAGGCAAATCCTTTCTAGATGGTCCAGAATCCCATCTAGGGGCCCCAGCTTCAGGCTTCAGCTGTGTGTTCTTGCCATGCTGTTCATGACTTTGCCTTAGGCCTGGTCCCCTGGTGGAGTCGTTTGAGGAGTTAGAAGACAGCGCTGGTGGAGAGAACCTTGGGCCCCTGTCTGCTCTCCCCACCTCACCTCCCTGTCAGTTTGGTTGCAAGGAAAACAAGACGTGGAGCCAATAGCCACTGCACTTCCACCTTGGCTGCTGTGATGTGGCGGTCCTCTGATTCTATCCCAGATGGCTTCTGCACAGGGTGACAGCAGCAAATAGCTCCAAATCGTGAGAACCAAGGCAGCTGCAGCTGCTTCTGCCAGACTCAGCTCCATCCACCTGCCAAGCCCCAGGCCCCATGCCGGGTGCCAGCAGGGATCCCTGCCCTTCTGGGGCCCAGGCTGGAGGGGAAGCTGGAGGAGCAGCCTGCATCCTAAGTGGGAGCAGTAGGGGAACTCAAAGAGGATTAAATCCCGCTAGTGGGAAGCTTCACCAAGCAGGTGATATTGGAATCAGGCCCTGGATTTTCCTAAGTCAAGAATAAAAACAATGAGTTCCAGGCCAAGTTGAAGGCTTGGAGCCAAGGCCACGAGTGAAGGCTCTTGTCCAGGTGGCTGGGGAGGGGCGGTCTCTGTGTAGTCTCCATAGCAGGGAGGTTGGGGGGGGGGTGGGTTGGATGCCCTGGAAGTGGGAAGGGCTAAGTCCTGGGGAAGGGAAGAGTGACAGGCATGCTAAAAAGGGAGGCCTTCTCGCCATGGGCCTGGGGAGGCCTGCGGGATAGCTCAGAAAGCCTGGTTTTGGGTTGGCAGGGAGGCTGAAGCTGCTGAGTGAGAAAGAGGATCATGTGGGAGCTGTAGGTCAGCCGTGGGCGAATGCTTTCCCTGCAGATGAGGAGGGAGCCCCGGCCTCCTGCACCGTGTATCCGCTTTGGTTCTAGGATCCTTTCTGTTCCCAGAAGGGGAGGGAGGGCACATGTTGGGGCCAGGAGGCCGGCCGTCTCTGGCCTTCTGCCTCTTTGGAGCTGTCCTGATGGGAAGAAGTTGGCTGAGGCCGTGGCTGGAAATAGGACGGGTGATGAGAAGGGTCAGAGCCCAAACGGAGACCTGGGGGTGAGGACCGGGATGGAGGAAGGAAGTTAGAACCCAGAGGGCAGCCCCTAGGGAGGGTGCTGAGCCCCCCACCTCAGATCTCAGGGGATCTGTCAATCCAGGACCTCCGGACAGCCTGCCTGGCCGACTCTTGCTCCCAAGGGACCCCGGGTGGATTGTGCCCACTGGAGGGTTAAGCCCAGAGTGACTCCTGCTGCTTCCCAGTGTGGCCAAGGCTGGGAGGCCAGGGTGACAATGAACAGGCCCCTAAGGGTGGGTTCCTTCCCCTCTGGCAGCTGAGCGGAATGTGGGAGTAGAGGTCAATCACTTAACCCCCAGACTTCCTTACCTCTGTGGTTTCAGATGCAATGATGCTTTCAAAGGCCCCTTTCTCTCTCAGTCCTGAGAAACCAGAAAAAGAAACCAGAGAGAGGTTTGGGGACAACAGAGGCCTGTGTGCTGTGACCCAGCTGCACAATTGGCGCCTTCACTGAGGGCTGCTCTGTTACCTGGTTTGCAAGACTATATGGGAATTTGGAAGGAGGCCTGGATGCAGCACAAACCTCTCAGCTCCTATTTCCTCATCTCCCCTTCCCACCATTGCCATGGCTTGGCCCAGTTCTAAAATCACAGTCCAGAGAGAGGCCAGAGGTATGTGGATCACAAGTCTGGCTCAGAGTCAGTCAGCAGGTACACAGCCCCCACTCCCCGCCGCTCCCAGCTTCAGAGCCTAGAGGACCGGGAACCTGCACTGAATCAGCAGTAGCCAGGCCAGAATCCAGTCCCACTAGTGGCCAGGCTACTGCTCTCCCATTTTGATTTGTGCTTTTGTGTGGCAGGTGCCTTTACAGTGGTTTCCACGAACAGGCACCTGTTGGCAACGCTTTGAAAGCATCCACTTGCTTCACTGTCTTTGTAAGCCCCTAGGGCGAGCATGGTTGTTCCCTTTTCGCACCTGGAAGTAGCTTATCCCAGGTCCGGAGTTCTCATCTTGGCACTACAGTCCTCCGGCTTCTGGAGGGTCCTCAGGAAGGTGGTTTAGACCCCCGATGTGTTCTGGTTTCTGTGTACAAAATCATCCCCCTTCCTTCTAGAGGTCCCTGTTTCCCTTCCTGTGTCTAATCCCGACATACACCAGTGATTTTCTCATTTTCCCTATCAGGAGTACATGTGCATCATCATCTGGGATGGACTGCATGGGCTCCACCAGCCGCCCCTGGCTGTCCTCTTGTCCCCTACCTGAGCTCAGCAAACCCTTGGGGGGCGGGGGAGGGTGCCGTCTTGGGTTATGCAATCCTTAAGCCCAGGATCATGTGACAGAGGCAAGTGAGTACGAGAAGTTGGAAAGCAGCTCTGCTGGTGACAGGAGTCCAAACTAGTGCACATGGGAAAAAAAAAAGTCCCCGAAACTTTGTATCTCTCATGCTGGAAAAACTAGAGCTTATCATGCGACTGTTGCCCTGGAACTCCCTTGGGAAAGGAATGCTTCTTGTGCTAAAAGTATCTGCTGGGGACTGGTTCCCCGGAGGACCTGCCCTTTCTTGTCTCTCT